CCAAAAAGACACATTAGCTCTTATGTTCATCATAGCACTATTCACAATAGCAAGGATGTGGAATCAACCAAGGTGGTTGATTCCACCATCAATGGTGGAACAGAGAAAGAAAATTTGGTACGTATAAAACACGGAATACTACACAACCATAAAAAAGAACAAAATCATGTCGGTTGCAACAACATGGATGCAGCTGAAGGCCATTATCCTAAGCAAATTAATACAGAAACAGAGAACTAAATGCTGCATGTTCTCACTTATAAGTGGGAGCTAAATACTGGGTGGACACAGACAGAAAAATGAGAACAACAGATACTGAGGACTCCAAAAGGAGAGAGGGAAAGGGGAGAGCAAGGGCTGAAAAACTCCCTGTTGGGTACTATGTTCACTTTGTAGGTAATCTGGTCAATAGAAGCCCCAAGTCTCAGCATCATGCAATGCAACCTTTTAACAAACCTGCATATGGACTCCTTGAATCTAAAATTAAAATGGAAATTTTAAAAAAGAAGAAGACTGGGCATGTGAAGCCCCAAGAGCTCCGTTTGGAAGCTGCCCTGCTGTTTTTGCAATGTGGCCACAGTGACTGCCCAACAGGCAGCTAGAGCCCAGAGGCGGGGTGTCGCTGCATGGATGTGACCACCTGGATACGCACGTTTTCATTTCATTTAAATGGCAAACAAAGGTCTTGGGCAGATGTCGAAGAGAAGGGGTGAACTGCGGAGACATTTCCGAGCAGGAGCTGATCCGGAGGGTTTCCAGTGCCGGGTGAGAGCCCCGCAGCCACAGCGATGTTCTTGCCTCCGCCGCGGAACTCACAATGGCTCCTCCGCCATAGCCTGCCGCGTGCGTTCACGCGCTTCCTCCAGGACTTATTCGTAGGTCTGTTGATTTCACAGACCGCACCCTGCAAAGGGCACACTGTCCTTTTTAGTATTTCATATAATTTCTTCTCTTTTTGTTTTCTACCAGGCCTGGCTCTGTGTCTAGGACTCAGCGTGCGTCCCCGGGCTCGACCTCCCCCGCCTGCCTAAGAATCTCACAAATCATTGACGGCATGGGGGAGGGGAGACTGCCTGTAGCCGGGAAATGGTGCCCTGAAAAGCCAGGGTTCTACCCCCTCTGCCCATTTGTAGGACAAAGAAGGCAAAGCTCTTTCGTGGAAGCTCGGCACTCTCGGTCCCGACCCAGGCCGTTCTAACCCGAATTAGCGACCTCCGGAGATGGGAAAACACCCGGCCTTACTGAGGAACAAAGAACAAGTGTTCCGGCACTGCGCCGCCTTCGTGGGCTCGGGGTGTTGGCTGCTGGTTCCAGCCTTTTGTTACCTTGCTGGGCTGGTCCCTGCGGGGCCCACGGCTGCGGAAGGACAGAGCTCTGAGGCTGCCACCCTGCAGCCCCTGTGATTAAAGAGCGCCAGGCAGCTCCGCCGGGGCCGCTCCCTTCCCAGGCGGAGGAGGCAAGTCCTGGGGAAAAGGGGGAGGGCAGTGGAATAGAAACTGGGGAGCGACAAAGCTGAGAAGGCGCAGATCTTGGCAGATCCCGGGTGCCTCCTCCACTGGCTCCTTTCTGCAGTCAGTATGGGGCTGCCACCCCTTCCTAGCCCCCATGCCCCGGGCATTTGGCTCTTTTACATAAATGTTAGGCTTGGTAGCTTTCCAATATTTCTAAATGGAGAGCTATGAGAAGAGGTGGTGAGTGTGTGTGTGTGTGTGTGTGTGTGTGTGTGTGTGTGTGTGGAAGGAAATAATGATGGATTTGCAGTCTCTTTCTTTCAACTCCTCTTTATTCATTGGCTAAGTGTTGGTTGCCTAGGAAACCGCGTGCATCTCAGCTGTGGAGCCAGCTATGGGGGCTGCGGGTTGGGTTTTAAGCTGTAAATGCCGGCAAGCAGTGAAGAACCCTAACCCTAAATGTCTAGTAATTTCAATAAATGTGTCAAAAATATATGTTGCATTATGAAAACAATGCTTTAAAAATTTACTACTATGTAAAGCCTCCTTCCTATCAGACTTCCTCGACTACTTAAAACAATGACTGTGTGTGTAATAGATAAATGTAAATTTACTTGAGGACGTGCCCTGAAAGCAATCTGAAAATTGTGAAAGCAAATGTAATTGTAATAGTTTAGGGGATGTCTTATTCACTTCAGTCGCTCAATAGGTTATGTATAAAACTAATGTTGAATTGTACTTTATGCAGGGATATTTTTACAATTGTCTCTGGAAGGGAAAATTTTTAAATGTTAGTACATCATTAAGACTAACATTAAGAGATCATGAAATATGTTTCCCCTAAATCTTCGTGCTTGATATGCGATGACCTAGATTGAAATGCATTGCATATAATGAATAGACAGAAATGCTGGGGACAGAACTGCCAACGACTTTTTTTTCTTTGAAAGTCGGGTAGTGAAAGTCTCTTCAAGTGAGCTACATGGATTAATAATGATCTTTTTTAAGGGTTATCAGATAAACCGAAAGACTTTAGGGAAAGTGTGTCTGTTGTCAACATTTCAACACCAAATCAGCTACTTGTGAAAATTAAAATGTGCAGCATCACAATTCCAATGGGAGTGGGGGTGGGTGTCGACGGTTAACAAGAATGGTTGCCCGGAAGGGTCCGGTGTGTGCGGACAATTCAAGCAAAACGCATGAAAGGAAAGCAGATCTTGGGCCAGAAATGTCCCCAAGGGCACTCTGGGCTTTCAGAAGGATGATTTTCAGTCTCACCCTATCCCAAACCTCCTCCTTTAAAAGAAACCTGAGAGGAAAGGGTCCTTTCATCTACATGATCTTGAACACGCGTTTTCACCCAGGCACTCAATGGAGTTTTGGCTCTGAAACAGAAGCTGAGAAATGAAACCGTTAGATGAGGGAGGCAGAAGGCGGTCAGCTCAAGTTACCCAGCGTGGAGCTAAGCGCCTCCCCCCGCCTCCACCAGCGCTGAGTGTCAGGGTTGCTCCTGAGAGCTCGCAGCAAAGCGGTGACAGCTCCGACAATGTCTACAGTCGCAGCACCGGTGCCGCCCTCACTCTGTTCCTTCCGGCGCGGCTTGGTCCCACTGGAGCCGCCATCTCGAGACTGACACCTGCCACAGCCCTTTTGGCTGAGATCCGGTCACTTTCCCTGAGGTCTGGGGTGCCCTAAAGACGAGATTCCAGTCTGTACCCTGTCCTTAACTTGCTGTGTCACCTTGGGAATTGCTAGCCCTCGACGTTTTGGCATCTGTAGGATCTGGATTAGAAACTCAGAGGTTAGGCCCTGAGATCTTGGAACCCAGAAAGGGGGCATATGGACAGACCCTCCCCTGGTCCCTGCCTGTCGCCGGACCCCACCCTAACCCGGGCACCCCAGCCGCGTCTGGAATACCGACCCAAGAGCTCCAGTCTGGGCGCTCAGGATGTTCGGGGACGCCTGGGCTTTTGTTCTCGCTACTTCTTTTTGTATATTGGAATCGACTTGAACCCCCCTCCCACCCCACAGCGGGAAAGGAAGGCGTTGACAGCTTGCTGATAGTTCTGGGAGGGTCTAGTTCAACAGCTGCAGGCTCCGCTCCGCCGCAGGAGCCCTGGTCATTCGGCCTCTCTCGCCAGGGGAGGTCATTTCACTCCGCCAACGGCCCTTTCCAAGTGTGGGGCGGCGCGCTTCAGTCATCGAATTGCAGGGAACAGGTTGTACAGTAAACGTTCCTGCCACCCTTTCCCCCCCACCCTCAACGCACGCAGGATTAGCCTCTCTCTCTCTCTCTCTCTCTCTCTCTCTCACACACACACACGCACACACACACACGAAAAGTAACAAAGAGACCAGCTCCTGCCTCGGTACCTAGAGACTGCGGATTTGAAGGGAGGGTTGGTGCTCCAAGTCTGCGCACGCGCTCGTGTCAGTGTGCGTGGGTCTTGGGTGGCCTCGAGCGCGAAGTGCTGCAGTTTTCAGTCTTATTGCCCCCGCCCCCTTCAACTGCAGCAAGAAGCCTCGGACCTCTCGGCCTCAGCGATGAAAGATAAGAAAGTTCGTTGCTCAGGCGGAGGCCACCCTTGGACCCCACCCTCTTACTTGACAATAGATGAACTGAACCCGAGGTCGGGGGGCGCCTGTCGTGTGATTTTAAATACTCGGTTGCACAGCGTATCCCACGCTTCTGAGAGCCCTTTGTTCCGCCGACAGCCCCGCCCCAGGGACCCCACCCTCTTTCTGCCCTCCCGGCGGTTAGTGCAGAGCCGCCGGCCACTCCCACCCCATCACTTGGGAGGAACAAAAGTCAACCCTCAGGGCGGAGGGGTCCTGGGTACCACCAGGGCGTTGTGCACTCTTGGAAAGGGCTGGGCAAGGGTGGTGGGCTCTAAGGTCACTTCACCCCTGGATGCTACTTTACAGTGAGAGGAGCCACCAGCCCTAGACAGACAAAGGAGAGGGCAGGCCCACGCTGGGGCGGGGCGGAGGCCGCGCTGGTACTCTTGGGCCGCAGGTGTCCAGGGTCGCCATCACACACGACTTCCTTCTGAGGCCACCTGTCCTCCCTCAGCCCTCTATGAGACGGGCATTGGCGCCTGGGCAGTCGCTGGCTTCCAGGATTGAGGAAAAGGGCAGTGATCTCACCAGGGGCGGCTGGCTGGAGGGACTCAGGCCAGTGGCCAAGGAGGAGCCGCAATCTGAGGTGGCCGAGCAGCCTGTGCCACCTCAACCCTCCCACCTGCCTGTACCAGAGCACCTGACGGCCTCTCCACCTGCTCCAGTTCTCCATCGTTCCCATCCGGTGCCAGCTCTGCCCCCACCCCGGTCAGGCCGCGCTGGTGGCCCTCGCCTCACCGCCCTCTCGCCCTCCTTTTCTTCACCCTTCCCCCATATCCCCATACCCAGACCCCCACCACAGCCCCAGACAATGAGCACGCCCCCACCCTACTCCCAGAAGACCCCCCCTCCCTGTCTGCACGCCCGCTCTGATTGGCCGCGGGCCGGTGGTCCAGCCCCCCGGACGGTCCCTAGGGCTCGGAGCATTACGTCAGCCGGGCCTGGAGAGCGCCAGCGCGAAGGAGACTGGGGGGCTCGGGCTGGGGGCGCGGCTTGCGCCGGCCGCCCCACCCTCCTTGCATAAAAGCCGGAGCCCGCGGGGCCGGCGCTCTCAGCCCGTCGGTTCCCGAGCGTCTTCCCGGTGACCCCGTAGTGGGTGTGTGAGGGGAGGACGGACAGATCCACCAGACGCCGCCGGAGCAGGAGGACGCTGACGAGACACCATGCGTGAGATCGTGCACATCCAGGCCGGCCAGTGCGGCAACCAGATCGGCGCCAAGGTGGGGCGCCGCCGCGGAGGGGGTCGATGGGGGCGGGAACCTGGGCCGAACGCCCCTCGGGGTCCCCAGGCGCTGTCCCGGGAAGGCCTGGGGATCGCCAAGTGCAGACCTTCCCGGCCGCTTTGTGCCGCCGAGGGTGGGGTGGGCTCGGAGACGACTTTCGCGGACAGAGGGGGCACCTCTCTTTCTTTCTGCGGTAACTCATTTGGAGTCCCGGCCACCCCTCGGCCTCCCTCCTGGCTGGCTGCTTGGCAGGCACGCGTGCCTGGAGAAGACGAGGGTGTGTCCGCGAGGCTGTGCGTGGCGTCCCGCGCCAGGGGCTGGGACACGAGGAGGATTCATTTAGCTCGCTTGAACTCGAGTCGAGCTGCGGGGGGTGGGGAGGAGAGCGATTGTCTTGCGGTCGCCGGACGTGCTTCGAATCTAAAACCGCGGCCCTTTAGCTCCTTCGCGTCCCTCTTTCCCCGCCCACCCGCTCCTCGCAGGCTGCCCTCGCCTCCTGCCGCCGCCTGGGGCTGCGACCCATGCGCCGAGCTCTGCCACTGCCCGGCTTTGGCTGGTGCTTCCACCCCTCGACCCTTACCTCCCGGGGCGAGCAGCAGCTGTTCCCCTGGGAAACGCCCAGTTTCAACTTTCTGACCCTGCAAAATACAAGCCCAGCGGCTGGTCCCGGGTCACGCCGCTCTTTAAAGCTCCTGAAATGTTGGGTTGTTGGAACTGAGTCGAGGACATTTCATTGTGAGCCTTGGCGTTTCTGGGGGATCGTGCAATACTAAATGCAGCTTTTCCGTCTCAGTTTTGGGAGGTCATCAGTGATGAACATGGGATTGACCCCACTGGCAGTTACCATGGAGACAGTGATTTGCAGCTGGAGAGAATCAATGTTTACTACAATGAAGCCACTGGTAATCGCCCTTGCCCCACCCCCACTCCCTTCCGTTTTTTTCTACCCCTCCCCCCTTTCCCTTGCATGGGATTCCAGGGGTGTGGCCCTGGGAGAGGGTGGACTATTCAATTTAGGAGCCCCACTCTTTCCCTGCAGTATTTCACTGGACTTCCTTGTGCCGACAGAGCCCTTTGAGAACCTGGTGGTGCGTCTCCCTTTGTTTGGGGCATCATCCATGCCTGCAGGATGGCAGCAGGCACCAAGCCCTTCTCTGCAGAGCTCCTTGCCGGAGGGTCTAAGTCACTGTTGTTCCCTGCAGGTAACAAATACGTTCCCCGGGCCATCCTCGTGGATCTGGAGCCAGGCACGATGGATTCCGTTAGGTCTGGACCATTCGGCCAGATATTCAGACCAGACAATTTCGTGTTTGGTGAGTGCCTGGTGTGGCTGATGGCATGAGGGACCCATTTTACACTGGGCAGCTGAGACTGGAGAGGTGTGACTGCCAGAGGGAACGCAGGAAGAGCATCCACTCGTGTGCCAGCTTAGCTTTACTATAGGGTAAAAATGTTTGCCTTACAACTTCTAAGAGCTTGGTATCCCGGCCTTCCTTATTTAGAATTATATTTACAAACAAATATGTTAATGTTTGGCCATTTTGATGATAATCTGAAATAGTCTTATCTGAGCATCGACTCACTGATCCATATGAAGGGGTTTGAGGTAAGGTATTTAATACAATCACCAGTGACTTAAGATATCTCTTTCCCTCTGGCAGGCCAGAGCGGAGCCGGGAATAATTGGGCCAAGGGCCACTACACAGAGGGAGCCGAGCTGGTCGACTCGGTCCTGGACGTGGTGAGGAAGGAGTCAGAGAGCTGTGACTGTCTCCAGGGCTTCCAGCTGACCCACTCTCTGGGGGGCGGCACGGGGTCTGGGATGGGCACCCTGCTCATCAGCAAGATCCGGGAGGAATACCCAGACCGCATCATGAACACCTTCAGCGTCATGCCCTCACCCAAGGTGTCAGACACGGTGGTGGAGCCCTACAACGCCACCCTCTCCGTCCACCAGCTGGTGGAAAACACAGATGAAACCTACTGCATTGACAACGAGGCCCTGTACGACATCTGCTTCCGCACCCTGAAGCTGACCACCCCCACCTACGGGGACCTCAACCACTTGGTGTCGGCCACCATGAGCGGGGTCACCACCTGCCTGCGCTTCCCCGGCCAGCTGAACGCAGACCTGCGCAAGCTGGCGGTGAACATGGTGCCCTTCCCGCGCCTGCACTTCTTCATGCCGGGCTTCGCGCCCCTGACCAGCCGGGGCAGCCAGCAGTACCGCGCGCTCACGGTGCCCGAGCTCACCCAGCAGATGTTCGACTCCAAGAACATGATGGCCGCCTGCGACCCGCGCCACGGCCGCTACCTGACGGTGGCTGCCATCTTCCGGGGCCGCATGTCCATGAAGGAGGTGGACGAGCAGATGCTCAACGTGCAGAACAAGAACAGCAGCTACTTCGTGGAGTGGATCCCCAACAACGTCAAGACGGCTGTGTGCGACATCCCGCCCCGCGGCCTGAAGATGTCAGCCACCTTCATCGGCAACAGCACGGCCATCCAGGAGCTGTTCAAGCGCATCTCGGAGCAGTTCACGGCCATGTTCCGGCGCAAGGCCTTCCTGCACTGGTACACGGGCGAGGGCATGGACGAGATGGAGTTCACCGAGGCCGAGAGCAACATGAACGACCTGGTGTCTGAGTACCAGCAGTACCAGGACGCCACGGCCGATGAACAAGGGGAGTTCGAGGAGGAGGAGGGCGAGGACGAGGCGTAGATGCCCCGCGAGGCGGGTTAGGGAAAGCGGAGGAGGAAGGCGAGGGGGTGGGGGGCTTCCCGGGACAATACCCGGGCAGTGGAAGGAAAGAAGCATGGTCTACTTTAGGTGTGCGCTGGGTCTCTGGTGCTCTTCACTGTTGCCTGTCACTTTTTTTCTTTTGTAATATTGATGACATCAATGTAACATTTGAGGTATTTCTGAATTACTGTTGTAATGGCTAAAATCACATAAACGTTTGTGTCGGAATGGTGTCCTCTCTTCTTTCTCTTCCTTTTTCTCTTCATTAGCAATTTAAATGTAACTTTCTGAACGCATTGCGTTAAATTCCTCCTTTGACAAAAAGCAAAAGCATAGGTCAAAACACAACTGAATTGATTCTTTGGATATTGAACCAACCAAATAAAATTGAACCAACCGCAGTTAAGATGAGAGATCAACCTGAGTTTTAAAATGCCTTTAATAAATGTTAGTTGCAAAGATGTCTTCTTGAAAGCACGCGGTGTCTTCATGTGCAATTCCTACTATGCCTTTACCTCCTTTACAAGAAAAGTGTTTTTAGAGTAGTTCCTACATACAGCATAAAATTCTAGAGTGCAAAGTTAGTGTCCCTTTTTCCTGTGTTCCTTGATCCTCTCTGGAGGGGAACCTTTCTAATCATGGTTATCTTTCTCACATCCCTGCAGAAATATTCCATATATTTTCAAGCCCATGTAGAGTATTTCCCTTTTTTCTTTCTTCACACACATGATGTAATACTAACACAATTCTGCAGCCTTCTCACTAAACAGTGTATCTTGAGCCTACAGAGAACTTCCTCTTTAAATGGATATGTAGCATCCATTATGTAGCTGTGATGTGTTTTATTTAGCCGGTTCCCTACAGCATAGTGTCACAATGAATAATTTTGTTATTTATTAGTGTGTATATGAGAATAGTTATCCTGTAAATTTCCATAAATGGACTTGGCTTTTTTGTCAAAGGCATATGCCTTTTTAAGTTAGTCATATCACCTGCACTTAGGAATAGCTATAGATTTATAAATAGTTAATAGGATCATTCTCAATTTTAAAGCAACTTTTTCTCCAGGCAATCATTTGTACTATATTACAAACTATTTGTACTTATTTTATCATCATTTGAGTTTAGATGGAATTACAAATTCTGAATTGTTGGGGAATTTTAAGTAGGCAATCCAGAATAGTTTTCAGTCTATTGCAATTTTTTTTTTCCATGCAGAAATAGAATTGGGGATTTGAACCCAAGTCTGACTCTGGACTTGAACTCAACCACTAAAGAAGCTGTGGGATGTCAATAATGGATTTTCAGTTAAGATGTTCCTGTGGGATAAATTATACCTTGTCAAAATAGTGCTGATACTCTGCTTTAATCTGGGCCAGTTAGTTTCTCATTTTGAGAGGAGAAAAAGTGTGAGTTATAAGCAAATGTACAAACTTATTTACATACCCCTATAGAAAGAAAGGATCAAGGAAACTAGGTTTAAGATACTCACACAAACTCAAAATTAGAAAATATAAGTCTTTAAACCTGACCTTATATTTATTTTATTCTGCTTGGTCTTACTCTTACTTATATGTTAAAAAAAGAAAAAAGTGTAGAAAGAAGATTTCCATTATTTAAAAGGCTTAAATATATTTGAAAATAGTTACAAAGAAAACTATAAGCTGTATAATTCCAAATAGTGTGAAAATAAGTTAATTCTGCCACATAGCTCCCATAAATGGAAAAGAGCACAGTTCACTTTATCAAGCATTATACATCTCTAAAACTTGACAGAGTGATGAGTGGGGTCAAACAGGTGTCGGGAGCCAGTGGCTTCAGCTCAGTTTTCTATATTTAACTGCAGAGTGGTAGATGTGGTTCCTGCTGAGCTGGTGTAAAGCTTCCAGCATCCTAATTGAAGGGTGGCATTAGCTTTAAATGCCCCGAACACCTGGGGCAGCTGCCAAGGTTCCCTGGATCTACCCTTGGGCATGCATTCCCTACAACCTGTCAGGCACATGTTCAGTACCCTCAGAGAATAGTGGGGTTGTATCCAAGGGCCTCTTGGCGTATTGGATGTGTGGTACTGCTCTTCCACCTGGTGAGAAGGGAACAGGCAGGCACCAGAAGAAGAGCTTGCCAGCCTGTCAGTACAACCACATCTGCACTGCTAAAGCTTATTTTGGTGTGATTAGAATGGTGGGTGCCAAACTGACCTGTCAAGCAGGTGCTCTGGGGCCTAATACAGACTTAAATGCATACATTAAAAAACAGTTCAAAATGAGAAAAATGCTCAAACTAATACCTGGATGAAGATACTATTTTGGAACCATCAGTTTTGTTTGTTACATTACCATTATGTGATGGCATTTGGTGGTGGTGATGCTGGTGGTGATGATGGTGGTGATGGTGGTGGTGGTGGTGATGGTGGTGGTGACGGTAGTGATAGTGGTAGTGTTATAATGGTGATGGTAGTAATGGTGATAAAGGTAGTGATGGTAGTGGTGGTAGTTTAGTGATGGTGGTGGTAGTGATGGTAATGGTGGTAGTGGTGATGGTGATGTGGTAGTGATGGTGGTCATAATAGCAGTAATGATGACACCAGTAATGATGGTGGTTATGGTGGTGGTGGTGGTGATGGTAATGGTGGTGGCGGTGGTGGTGATGATGGTGGTGGTAGTGATGGTGATGGTGGTGGTAGTAGTGATGTGGTAGTCTTGTCATGGTGATAGCAGTAATTATGGTGATGGTGGTGATGGTAGTGGTGGTGTGTTGTGATGGCAGTGTGCTGGTGGTGGTGGTGGTGATGGTGGTGGTGATGTGGTAGTGTTGTGGTAGTGACATGGTGATAGTGGTGATGGTGGTGGTGATGGTGGTAGTGGTGGCAGTGGTGGTGATGTGGTAGTGTGGTGGTGGTGGTAGTGGTGGTGATGGTGGTCATGGTGGTGGTGATGTGGTAGTATTGTGGTAGTGATGTGGTGGTGATGGTGGTAGTGGTGATGGTAGTGGTAGAGGTGGTGATGGTAATGGTAATGGTGGTGGTCATAATGCGGTATTATTGTCATAGCGGGGTGGTGGTGTTGGTAGTGGTGATCATGGTGGTAGTGGTAGTGATGGTGATGATGGTGGTGGTGGTGGTGGTTATGTGGTAGTGTCGTGGTGGTGGTAGTGGTGGTGTGTGTCTGTTTCCAACATTTCCCAAAAAAAATGTTTTATCCCTCCTTGATGTGGCCTGAGGAGGATATTTACTTCCAGGCAAACACAATACCAAATTACAAGACCCACTGAGGCGTGATGCATGATTCAGAGATTGCGGTTAGGGAAGGGGAGTTGAAGTCACCCTGAGGTCATCTAGAGAGTCTGAGAAGAAACTAAAACCTCAGTGTGCCCTAGGTTGGCCTGCACCTCTATATCAGCCTCAGGGATGATCTAAGACTATGTTAGATTTTCCATTTTATCACAAAAAATGATTGATATTAGATTGATAGCAATTTGAACAAAAATCCCCTTGAGAGATTATCTTATTTGCCCTCCTTGGTATGTAAGTAGGGAAACTGAGGATCAGAGAATGATTTAGGATCCCAGAACACTCGGGTCTTTCACCCCGTGCTGACTTCCCTGCAGCTGCATGGCTGAGGCTCTGTTGTATGCAAAGCCACCTGAGGATCACGAAGAAGGGAAAACGATTTCCCTGGTATCAAGGAAAACCTGAAGTTGTGCCTTGGTCCCACTCAACTTTCCCAGATGGGCTGGGCACAGACATAGTGCCAGCCTTTTGTCTGTAATGAAGTCACTGACAGGTGATGTTGAATTGCCTGGTTATAAAACACCACATACACAATGCTCTAATGCAAACATGGTTACAAAAGGGAATATTCTACCAGGGGTTAGTTGTGAAAATAAGTCGGAAGCTAAGGAGAACTGGAGTGGCCCTTTTTTCAAATCCCCATTTAGTTAAGATGTGTTAAGATGTGGCTTGGCAAACTGCTATGAGGCAAGTTCTTTCTGGTGTATAAGAGACGTCCTATTGTGAGGTCATGCTTTTCTAAATGCACTTCAAAGTCAAACCGTTTCCTTGGAAAGAGACTCTTCCATACTTTTGTTTTTTAACCACCTGCCTTCCTGCCTCCCCACCCCTCGTGTTTCTCTGCAAGAGTGCTTGCCGACACACACCCAAAGAAGCTTATTTCACTCAAAACATTTCAGTCATTTTTTTTTGTCTTTTAATTGAGATACAATTTGCATACCATAAAATTCACCACTTAAAAGACTTTAAGTCAGTGGATTTTAGTATATTCACAGAATTGTGCAACTATCATCACCATCTAAGTCCAGAATAT